AAAACCCAGAAAAACTCCAAGGTTCCACCCAAAAAAAAAAAAAAAAAAAAAAAAAAAAAAAAAAAAAGATCCCCCAAACTAAAACATGAAAGCCACTTTTTAAGGCACCCCAAAAATCCTCAATTCGTACGCAGCTGTCATTCAGATCATATCTCATCATCATTATCATAAAAGCCAAGCCACCGAATCAGCCCCTCCGTGCAGTCCCCCGCGTGGAGATGGGCAACAGACTCCCCGCGAAGTCCGTATCGAGACTCTTCCGTAACGACCGGTTCCCACTCAGGATCTTCTCGAACTCGTACCCCGTCGTGCGGATCCCATCTGGGTCATCCCTCGCGAGGTTCCCGGGTGCTGCAGCTGCAGCAGCACCCCCACCACCACCACGTAACCGGCTCCTCCTCCCGCGCTGCAATAGCATCCACCGCCGCGACCGCCGGATTCCCTCCTGACACGCATCCCCGATATCATCCAGCAAGAGCGCCAGGATGATCAGGGGGATGGAGATGGCGAAGCCGATGCCGAAGGTATACTTGGCGACGTACGAGAGATGCAGCTGGCCGGTGCTGTCGCCGCCGCCACTGCTGCCGAATTCGGCCAGGTTGATCGTGAAGATGGAGGTGATGAACGACAGCGGCAGGAACACGATGGTGACGATGGTGAAGACCATCATGATCTTGCCCTGGCGGGTGGTGCCGGCGGCCTGGTCACGGGCGAAGCGGGCCTCGAAGGCGTTGGCGTGTTTCTGCTTGAGGTCCAGGAGATCGGTGATGGAGGAGTAGATGCGCTCGGCCTGCTTGTCCATGCGGTCGATGTCTTTCAGGTGCATGTCGATGGTGCGCTGCTGCTCCTTGAAGCGCTTCTTGATCTCGGACTGCGACCGGTGCTGGCCTGTGTAGATCTCGCAGATGGCCTCCTGGAAGTCCAGCAGCACGTGCTGCTGGTGCTGCAGCACGGTGCGGATCATGTTGAGCTCGTCGCGGATGTCCTTGGCCTCGGAAAGGAGATCCGTCTCCTGGCCGATGTCCAGGAGATTGTCCACGAACAGCGGCTGTTCGTCCTCTTCGTGGTCGTCTTCAATCGCGGCGTCGCAGTACTTGTCGCGCGCAGCATCGGGGTTGTTGTTGCCGCGGCGCTCGCCAGCGGTCACCGCGTCACGATTCTTGCTGGGCGGCGGCCGAGCGAACCGGCTGAGCTTGCGGTGGTTCTTGAGCCAGTCGGACGCCTGTGCGGAGTCCCGGTTGAACTGGTTGAAGAGGACCGTCTCGCGGTCCGTGGCTACACCGATCGACGCCTCGAACATGTCCAAGAACTGGTACTCTTCGTCGCCCATGCGATGACGGTCAAACACCCCCGAGCAGCGGGTGGTGATGATGATGGCCAGATCGTAGACAGACTTGACGGGCTCCCGGGTCTTGGAGTTGATGTCTTCGATGATCCCGTCGAGGACGTTGAGCGGGTCGTTCTTGGGCTGCTCCCATCGTTCGGGGAAGCTGGTCACGATCAACCCGGTTCCCAGGATCCACATCCAGAGCTGATCGACCATGAAGATCTTGGGCTCCGACAGGAACCGCTCGCGACCCTGCCCTTTGGTCTGGTACCGGTAGACGACCTGGTCTTGGTCTCGTGTCAGCGTGTCGATATTGGGGTAGAAGAACTGATCCAGCGTGCGTCGGATGTGAAGCGACGTGGTAGACGATGCTAGATGCGCGCTGATCAAGAGCTCGTCCCGTGTAGGTGTCCGAGTGAGGCTAGGCCGCGCGAGACACCGCGTCTCAGCTCGCTGGATGGCGTCTTGCATCTTCTGGCGTCTCTCGGTCGTTTCGAAATGTAGATACGGCATGAACATGCACACATTGCACGCATTGGAGCGTGTTGAGTCTTTGCACAGAGAGAGCACAGGCCGATTCTTGTCGTTCCGATCGATACCGTGGTTGTGTTTAGACTCCTGCTTGTACTGTGCTCCCCCGGCCTTGCCACGCTTGGTCGCACCCTTCCCCTTCTTCGCCGGGTTGTCAGAAATCGAGTCCATACGTTCAGTTTTGCTTCCGTGCTCTTTCAATTTCCGACCTCTAGGCATGTTACCTTCTTTCGAAGTGCCTGGTGCCTCGTGGGTCTGTCCATTGATGAGAATCTGAGGAGGCAGTTCGACCGTCTTTTCCTCAGAACTGTCCTCTTCCTGGAATCGTGGTGCACGAGGGGTGCTCTGGCACAGAGGTCGCATGAAGTGCGAGTGTGTTCGTTGTCCTCGATGTTGGTAACGGAAGGATTTCTCCAGTCCCTTGAAGCTCTCCACATCGTGCGCCCCCTCCTCAATGAATGACTTGGTAAGAAGAGCCTCAACCCATGTCAAATTGTTCGCCGGAAGATGGATCCAACGAAAGTCAGTCGCCCGACTATCCGCCGGTAGGGTGCTGAATGCCTGTTTGCGTGGGTTCTCAGCATCGCGACCGTAGAGAAGATTGAAGACCGATGTCTTCTTGACCCGATTTTCGTTGTGGAAGTTACCGAAATCGACCACGGTAGCCTCGAATGCTTCACATGCGCCTTTTGCCTCCGCAGACAAAGCCTCGACAGTGTTGAACGGGGCAAGGAGAGATACTATGTCTCTCCGCTTGAACTGGGCTGCCCGCAGGAATGGTGTGCTGCCGAAGTTGTCCCGAATTCTCTGCTTTAGACCCTTCTGCTCCAGCAGGCACTCTACTACCTCGCGGTGACCAGCTTGTGCAGCCAAGTGCAGGGGAGTCACCCCGTTGAGCAGTTGGCTATTGATGTTGGCTCCAGCACGTAGAAGAATACGCACAATCAACTCAGAGCCTCTGTCGCACGCATTATGCAGCGGGGTCCAGCCACCGTCACTTCGCGCGTTGACGTCCGCGTCGTATGCCAGCAAGAGCTGGACAATGTCATCACGACCATGAGCGACCGCGATATGGAGCGCGGTCTTGTTCCGACACTCGACGGCATTAACGTCTGCGACCGGCCCATGCGGTCGGGTCAGAAGCAGCTGCGCGAAGCGTAGTTTCCCCGTGGCGCACGCCCAATGCAGAGGCGTGCGGCCGAGTTCGTCCTGGCCAGCCAGGCCGTCGAGTGTGCAGGTTGTACTGAGCAGGAGCTCAATGACATCCTCTCCCCAATCGCACTGCTTGTCCGCCGCCAGGTTATGCAGGACGTTCCTCTTCTTCTGATCCCGAGCATTGACATCAGCGCCGCGGGCAACCAGCAGCTGCAGAACATGCCAATGGTTCTTCCAGGCGGCCGTCATCAGTACGGTCCGGCCCTTTTTGTCGGGGGTTTCCGTCGATGCGCCATGGTCGAGGAGGAGCTGCACGATGCGAACGTGATTCCGCTCCACGGCGCGCAATAGCGGTGAGGGCCGATTACTGGCAACGTCCGTCTTTGCACCGATCTGAAGGAGGTATTCAGTCGCGGCGATGGACCCGCGCTCGCAGCTGCGCATGAGCCCGATGCGCAGAAAGGTATCGTTGAGTTGTCCAGTTTCGCGAGCCAATTCAACGATGGCCTGCAGGGTGGCGAACTGGTCGCTCTCGACCGCTCTCAGCAAGCGGGGCTCCAAACGGTCATGGCTGTCACTCGCAATACTAGATCGCGACCTAGACATGGTTTTTGTCTGTGCTGAACGCTGATTCAGGAACGGAGACTTCGGTCCCAAGGGTTGACGGTGGCCCACCACATATTCCTGGGGATTTTAGGTTTTCGAGGAAAACTTGGGGCCGACAAGAAAAATAAGAGCTGAAGGGCAGAGCCGCGCCAGTCAGCCGGGACGAAATAGTGTCGAATGATGGGTGCGCCACGCCAGACGGTCAGTGGCTAGAAGCATAAGCAATACGAAATTAGCTGCATGTCGGGAGTCTGCTCGCAGTATTCTCCACTGCGGCTGGGGATTGGTCGACTATTGAGCAGAATTCAGGGTTCACGTCCAGCCCCCGGGCTAGTGTATGTCACTTAGACTAAGTTAGTCACTTTGAGAAAGACTCTCAGTCAGTAGTCGTCCTAGCAAATGATAGTGAGTTCGAGTTCGAGACTGGATGATCAGAGCTATAAGGAGGACCTAGTTCAAGGCTATTATTTTTCTAGCTGGCGACCACTTTTCATACAGCATTCAGCGTATGGAATGTCTTCATTCATCGGCGCGGACAGCTATCGCTAGGACTGAAAGGCTCGATTAGAATTTCAGTTCCAATCAAATCAGAGCCAACCGATAGAGACAATGTAACTTCGTAGTTGGGTTGAATGAATAGAGTGTGAATCGGGTACCTGAAGGTTATTTAGCGGGACAGGACTCCGACCAGCTGAAGTACTGTAGTGCGCACTATCGGCTGAATAAGCAAGTACAACCATGCTAATGCAGCTCTCTGGTCGGTAGATCCACGAGAGCCTGAATAAGTCTCACGATTCAAGCTTGCGACTTTGCAGGGGTATTGTAGAGAGTAACTAATCTCAGAGGCATGACAAGTCCTCGTGTCGCGTGTAACAGACTAAGATGAGCCCCAATTCAAAGGACAGTTGCCTGGTGGTCGTCTCTGTCTCTTCCGGACCTTGAACATCTGCACCCCCAATTTGACAGAATACACCCAGCCCCGTTAGCAGGATGGACTCTGCTTTCATGTCTCCTGTTAGACTGCTAGGCAGTCAATTTCTGTGAAGTGCCATGCATCACCCCATCCGTGCCTGCGCCGGTCTAGACAATGTCATGTTGCTGGCCATTGTGAATCAATTTGACTTGTCCATGCGGTAGTTCTTTTGTAGAACATGTATAAGGTTCCGGTAGTGTGATCCTTGAGTTTGGGTGGTTGGTGATAATGAAGGTAGCTTGCACTGTTCAGACTATGGATGCTAGCAGTAGGTTGATCAAGATGTCCTGCGTGAAATATGGTAGGATGTTCGAATGATGAGAAATATATTCTTCGCGGAAGGTTCTCCCTTCCCGCCGCGTATACGTACAGTACTGTATGTTGACGACCACCACTTCAACCTGATAAAAAGTTTCAGTGAAAGACATTATAGATAACTGATTAGACCAATCGATTCCCAATGCTGATAATGTAGTTATTAGCAGTATAGCTTAGGGCCGTTAAATCCGAATTACGAGGATCGCCCACAAAGGGACTAGCTACACACAACCAGCCAATCACCCATGATCTGATCATCTTTTACCCCATAGAAGGGTGCATTACATTAAGACTAGTCCTTTCAAGGACCTATTATCTCTATCAATGATGCGTCTGAAAGGTGTAAATCACATCAAATCAGGCTGTCTGACACGGCCAGGCACGGAGCAACGACATTTGCAGGAGTCCCACCCCCCCCTCCAAGAAAAACAGACAAGAGAAGTATAGTAGGGAGTGGAAGGTGAGTAGAGGAGATAAGTGGAAATGCCCAGGGAAAGTCGGATTGCACACAGTAAAAGAAGAGAGGAAGACAAGGACGAGATTCCAAGAGGCAAGATTCATGATCCCAATGCCATTGACCAAACGCATGCTCTGCTCCAATCCACACAAAAAGAGATAAAGAAAATATTAAAACAATCTTCTGGTTGTTGACTGTCGCTACCCGACCCGAGAAAACTTCAGATAGATGCTCGTTTACGCCGTTCCAGCCTTTTGGTTCAAGATAACGTATCACGCCCAGTATGAGAGGTAAAAGAAAATGGACAGAATGACAATAGGAAAGGGAACTGCGTATGACAGGATACAAGAGAGCTGAAACGACCAGGGGTTAGTAATGCAAGGGATTGAAAAAAGAAAAAAAAAAAAAAGGGTTGGAGCACTGAGGGGAGGAGAGAAATGCCCTGAAGGGGACTCTTTCAAGCTCCGGTCTTCTCTCCAACATTATACACATCTAAAAAAGGAAACCTTGGATTCTTCTATCGCGTTCTTTTGTCCAAGGCTTATTTCTTCTTCTGCTGATTCGGTACTTGCTTCAGAATGTCGTCGAAGCTCATGTTGGGGTTGAATCGACTGACGGGTCGAGCCGGGGGATCCAGCGGGGCGACACCCGCAGGCAGTGGCAATGCTTCTAGACCCGGATAAATTGAGGTGCGGTGCTCTGCTCTCCGGTTTAAGACTGGGGAGTTGAGCCGAGGGATTGCAGGTGGAGGAGGACCGAGACTGCCGGGGGTCATGAGGGGAGTTGGCTGCCCGCCCGAGAGCTGTTGTTGCTCAGACGATGAGCCTGCCGACGATTGTTGGGCTTGGTAGGGTGAAGACAACGAGGACTCGTTGTCGTATGGGTCCTCGATCGTCGGAGGCGCTAGAATAGCATCCTTCTCCGCCCATTGCTCGGCCACCTTCCAGCAGTGACTGCGGCGGTAAATGCCTTCCACACCGTTGATAACCACATCGGAGGGCAGACTAACCACACCGGCGCCATTGGCCACGCCAAACCAACTGCGTGCAGTCTTACCGTCGTTCTGTATCCAGGGTGCACCACCGCGGGGCGCAATGCAGAGGAAGTACTCCACAGCATCCGTGTATCGGACGTCTTGCACATCAACCACCACCAGGGGCAGGGATTGAATGACACAGTACAAGAAAATCCACTGACCGCAACGCATGTCAATCATGTCATTGATGTTCTTGCCATGCGCGGAGCGGCGCTCAAATTGCATGAAGGATTCGATGAAAGGGGTGGGCCGCAGACTCTCGCGGGTGTAAGAGCCCATGAGAACGGCATTGATGTCCGCATCCTTCAATTTCTTCGCTCGCTTCTTGGCTTCCTTCTTTGCGTCCATTGGTTTCCGCTCGAGCGTCTGCAGCGAGGGGAACTGTGGAATATCGAATGGAATAGGAGGCTGAACTGGAGGAGTGCTTCGATCATACTCGCTCAGAACCTGCCTGAGAGCCCGAACCATTAATTCATCAGGGTCGGAGGTCTCTGTTGTTTCCGCTGCCATGTCCACCGTGCGGGTGGTGAGGGCGGCCCGGTCGACCATCATATCGTAAAGGTTGGCGAAATCATTGTAGAGATCCTTAACAACCTGGCGATTGAGTCCACTTTCCTCGAACTGATTCTTCTTCGAGCGAGCTTTAGGAGGCCATGATCCGTACTTCTGGCGATAGTACTGCATCGTGAAGCGTCGGAAATCCATGAACGCCATTTTCCAGTTCTTGAACCGCACCACCTTACTCTCAACCGACGTAGCCGAATTGGCGATACCCGAGAAGACAGAAGGGAAGTCAAAATCGTCTAGCTTACTGTACAGTACCCGGAGACGGGTATCCAGATCGATGAAACCTCGCTCCAAGCGTTTCTGGGTTACGGGGTTGATAAGGCCGTACTTGGGACTTCTCAGTTGCTTCAGCTCGTCCAGCTTGCCAACCCCATGCACGAACCCCTCGAGGTAGAGAGGGTAAAAACGCAACCGTTCACCCAGAACGATGGCCTCGATGGTTTTCTCGCGGCTCTTGCGCACATCTGCCAGTCGCAGTTCCTCACAGTAGTTGCCAAAGCTGGTCGTCGCAGTCTCGCCAAAATTGGAGCCATCGAAGTTGGTGAATTCAAATCGAGAGAGTAGCGTTGCAACGTCCATAAAGATGGAAAAGAGGGATGGAGATCGAGGTGTTGCAATCAACGATTGTCCCAGCAGGAAAGCGAAAAGGTTACGGAACAGAAGAAGGTTTTCCAAATCCTCCCCGGTGAGTCGAGTGTTCGGGTTGGAAACGTCGCTGTTCAAGGGGATGGGAAGGTAGAGATGAAGCTCCTGGAACTCTTCGGGACTCTCATCGTCCATGTAGGCCAGTCGTTGGCTCCCAGAGCTGTCATTGTCATTATCGGCCAAGCGATCTTGAGGTGTCAAGGGCGGTGACGCGGGGCCGACCACGGGGCTATTCAAAGACAGATTGCCTGTTTGTTGCTCGAGAGATGTGGGACTGCGAAGCTCGTTTCCGCGAGCAAGGAAATGGAGGGAGGGAGATTCCGCAAAGACCGTCGAATGGACCTTGAACGAGGCCTGTCGGCCGGTGTTCTGGGGGAACAGGTATACGTAGGTGTCGCCATTTTCGTTCCAAAGCTCGGGGATCTAGCGTGTTTCCAACGTTGGGTTTTAGTAAACGCTAATGAGCGGGCTAGCCATGCACGAGCGAGTCCCGCGTCCCGGGCCCATCGGTACAAACATACCTGTTCTCCTCGAGACAGAGGTTCCAGATCATACAGAATTTTCTGCTCTAGGCCAGCGATCCAAGCACTGGGCATGGCTGAGGCGCTGGCGCGCGGATCAGCCGAGCTTGCACGAGCTCGCCCGGGCATCCAGCTACGCCGCTTAGAAGATGGGGTGCTCGGGCGCGAGTCCGGACCAGCACCTGGCACAAACAATCCCGCCGAGCTGGACGGTCGACTCCCACTACGCCCGCGACCGCTACTCTGGGGTCTGTCGGAGGAGCCGGGGGTGCTGGTGGCCAGATCCTGGTTGACGGACAGTAGGGATGGAGGCGGCGGCAAGGGTTCGTCCAAATCAAAACCATCGTGGGGACCGGGGGGAAGAGGCGGGCGGGTCTCGCCGTAGTCGCTTTGAGGATTAGAGGCTACACGACCTGATCGGGAGGCGCTGCGAGGACGTGCATCCTGCGGTAACTGGTCGGGGGACGCTTTCGGGATGCTCGGAGATGCAGGTGAGGAGGGTGCCGAACTATCCCTGGTCGAACCCAAGGAAAACAGCGACGATATGCGCTTGGCCGATTTTACCGGAGCGGACAGCATGTTCGGGGTCGCTGCGTAAAGAGAAGAGAAGCAATCGTCAGCCCCGGAGAACGAGAGAAAAGGCGTAGCGATGGTCGAACGGGTGAGTGGGGAAGGAAAAAGACATGAATAGCGAGAATGGACAATGAGAATGGAGAGGGAGCGGAGTGAGGAAAGTGTGAGAGTAAGATTTGGGGGGGGGGAACCAGAGGGTGCAAGTTGAGTGACAGGAAACTTCACCCCTCCACCGACGGAGGAGACCACGGGTTCGCGAAAGGCAGGCAGGAACCGACGTACCTTAACCAGTTTAACCAGTGAAGTAAGAAAGAATGTTACCAACCATGCGCAAACTCTCCCAGGCGGTCCAGGGACAAGTTTGGTCGAGGAATTCGGGAGGGTTTGGCGAGGAAAGGGCAGGCAATTCGTGCGAACTGCTTCGACGTGCCCTGAGGAATGGATCGACAGGAGGGATCCAGTAGAGGAGGAATGGATGCAACTCTCGATTTTTGGGGTGGGGAGGAAGTGGGAGGGAGAGGAGGAGAGGGAGATTGTCAAGAAGAAGGTTTGGTACGTGGGACAAAGAGAAAAGAGAAAGAGAGGGAGAAAGAGAGGGAGGGGGTAATAGGTGTCAGTAAGTGAGAGTATATTAGGAGGATGAGAAGGAGAAAGAGGAGAGGATGGAGGCGGGGAGACGGAGGGTTGAGATAGATGATGATGAGGATGAATTATAGGGGATGTTGTATAGATGGACACATTCACAGACACACACAAACAGACACAATCTCTCTTTCACTCCTCTTCTGTAAGCTTTGGGAGAAGAAAGAAAAGAAGAAGAGACGATGTGGAAGAATATGTGGAGAGAGAGAGAGAGAGCGCGAGAGGGAAAAAAAATAATAATAATAATTGAGGGTCAAAGAGCGACAAGTGACAGAAACCAGGACGGTATTGAGAATACCTGATTTGGTAGTGGGGGAAGCTGCGCGATGGTCGTATTGATGCTTATAGTGGAGGTATCACGCAGGTAATAATGCACTGTCCTAGAGTATTTTTAACCTTTCCGGTGGAGCCGACGGTCGGCGAGGAATTCAATTTGCATCAAAACCGACAACAAGACTTTGGCACCCATGGATTGCACCGTCAGAGACTATAGACCTTGTCGCAGCCGATCTAATCAAAACATGAAGCAACAAGAAACAGATGCAGTTCTTATATCTGATTAGAGAAGACATGAGGATTGTCTGTCCGCCGGCCTGATGTCTGTCTGTCCGTCTATTCTTGTTTTATTCAGAGTTATCCGCAGCCACAGTGATACATATACTTGTGCTCCGTACTTTGCATTGATTAGATTTACTGTATTGGCCTAGGCGGTAAGATCCTCCATTGACCCCATCCTGGTTCGCCTGTTCGTGTTGGAGAAACGCAGTAAGAAAGAAAGAAAAAAAAACAAAAAAAAACAAAAAAAAAACAAAAAAAAAACAAAAAAAGAAACAATGAAAAAATGAAAAGTCATTGTTAACTTTACTCCTGCAGCTGCCTCTCGATGCCTCGTACGGTACATAAAAGGTGCTGACGACGAGGGCTCATAAGTTTTATTTTCTAATTCCGAAGAGTAATGTTTTGTGAAGTCGGCCCCGGATATTCCCACCTCCTGCTTCTTCTTGACCTTCTTGAACTTCTAATGGATTCCTTTTAGTGGAGACACTCCCCATTTAGTCTTCTCTTAGCATCTTGCCCTTTGCCCTTTGCCCTTTTGCCTTTTTGCCCTCTTGCCCTCTTGCCCTTTTCTCCTTCCCCCCCAATCCATGATGACTATTCTCCTTTCCACTCCTTGTACGGAGTACTATTTACGGAGTAGTGTACTTGATTTCGGTTGGCCGGACCATCGGGTATCGGAATCAGGGTAAGTGTAGTTGGCTAATTTACTACAGCACCTCAGAAATTTCTGACGTTCCTGATGGATCATCCTGTATCGAATCTGATTGCGCCATGCCTGTCTGCGGCAAAAGTGGACTGCGAGGGCTGCGACGAGGCAGTGTCAATCTGGTTCAGGAGGCTGATGGCCTCCCGCTGACTCCTCCTTGGCTAATCAGGGGAGCCTCAGGAGAGCGCCCTGGCCGTGCAAGTAAATTTAAGAACGAAGAGGGGAAAAAAAAGGATATCTTACAGATGAGACTTGACTCTTGCGTTGGCTGGCGATGCCTACGTATTGCGAAGTCGGATCGTTGATCCGGATAACTTACATAGTACCTTACTGTACATACAAGAGTAGGCAGAAGAATTTCTGTAAGTAAACGCTCCGCCAGGTGGTTGGGCTCACCATGCGATCATGACATCCATCTTTTCAAGGCATTATTTTCGATCTCCAGTCCCCTGAGGAGTCGATGTCCAAGTTCTCTCCATCCCTGATCGCATGTTGAACATTCGGAACGATGCAGTCTCTAACCCAATCACGACCATCAGCGTCCTCCCGGTCGCAGTTACACCAGCCACCTTGCCTTTGCTTTTGAGGTTCTTTTATATACTTGAAGCACTGGATAGGTTGCCACGATACGAATCGTGGCCCCTCCTTGCCCCCTGAGTATAATAAGCACCATGTCCCATGGTGAAAAGGGGATGTCAAGACCTGCTAAACAAGGGGGTAGCTGGATAACTACCTAGATACAAGCCCGTAACGAAGACCGCACTGCATACTTGCGCCTGCTGTGGGCACGTCATGCCGAATTCCAGCGGAGAGACCAACTCTATCTTCTCCGGCTGATTAGTGATTTGAATGAGCCATAGAACGGGGTTCCTTTCCGGATGGTGGAGGAAGAGCTCGAAAGAGGTCGTAGGTACGGAGTTTGGAGTACAAAGTAAGTTAATGGTTCACTATGCCATCCTTGCCAATGGATGAAGTGATCATCTGGTAATGCGTCCGCCATCCATTCCCATTGGGTGCTGCATAGTAGGCATAAACCCCTAGAAAGAGCGTGTGTTTCTTCCCAGGGCAGGCAGGGCAAGGTGCAGTGCCCCCCGCTGGCGGCGGCGGCGGACTAAGAATAGATCGGGATCACGCATGGGATTAGATAGACTTGGAGACTAGACTACGTACGGAGTACCAGGCACAGTACCGAGTACCGAAGGTGTGTATGCGCTAGTAAGGGTTCCTCTTCTTTTTTCGTCCGACTTGGTCAATTACCTATACCTTCCACATAGTATCATCTGCTCAGTCACCTAGGCATATTGCATGATCTGTTGAAGGCCACAAGGCGACCGACTACACATGACTCAAACATGAGTACGTACTCTACGTACTCATCTAGTATGTATGCTACGCGTGGCTGGTCTGTCGAACGTTGATCGTTTGCTGTGGGGACTTCCATACCGAACCACGAACCAACAATAAAGAGATCTCGACTCGGGCGCGGGATTACCTAATCAGCTTGGGGTGCAGTCGATCTCCACGGATTCACAGAGTATTGTCTGTACCAATCTCCAATCCTGCGACTGTTCTATTGTCTAGCCACTGACCATTGAATCCCTCTAGCGGCCATCGGGATTTCAGGTACTGAGTACTGTACTTCAGTTACTGTACAACGCAAATTTGCAGTCCCGCTATCGGCCCTGCAATGGCTTGAACTTACTATGTAAGTTAATCTGTCCTTCCGTCCATCTCCGTCCATCTCCGATGCCCCTCTAACGGAGCTGCCACTGCCAGGGCGAGGGGGTTGGTAAGCTTGGCAACCCGACCCCTCTCTGGAGGAGGGGCAAGTCTGCCTGTCAACCTGTCAACCTGACTACTCCGTAGACTCTCTCATCATCATGAGCAGTGAATTTTTCAGGACGGTGGCTGGTTTGCGGAGTTTCAACCTCCAACAATGACAACATCACAAGGAATGTCGACATACGCAAGATGAATTACTGGTCCCATGGGACGAGGCTACTACAGGGCCGCCGCCCATTGTTCCTCCACGCTTTATCGGGGCCAAGTGCGGGCGGTGGAGACCTGACCTCCTGGTGACGACTGTGACGACCATGACGACCACCCTCCATGGACCCCTCCTCTCAAACATCTTTCGTCTGTCTACAGCAAGCGTCAACGTCTGAGCCTTTGTGAAACACGATTTTTGACGACTTTCCATCGACATCCATGGTTGTCATCAATCTTTCTCGCGGGTGGCCCAACCCCGCCTTGCTGCCCACCGCCGCCTTGGCCTCGGCCTCCGCCACGGTCCTCGCCTCCCCGAGCATCTGGCAACCAGCCTTGCAATACGGCCCTGACGAAGGCTTTCAGCCGTTGCGTGAGCACGTTGCCCACTGGCTCACGGAGTTCTACCAGCCACGCAGTCCCATCTCCCCGGATCGCATCTGTATTACCGGCGGGGCTAGCCAGAACCTTGCCTGTATTCTTCAGGTCTTTTCCGATCCGATCTACACACGCAATGTCTGGGTGGTCGCCCCGACATATCACCTTGCAGGTCGCATTTTCGATGATGCTGGCTTCGCCGACCGCCTGAGGGCGGTGCCTCTGGATGCGGCGGGTCTGGATCTGGCTTATCTGCGAGAGGAGTTGTTTGCTGCTGAATTCAAGGCCTCCCGTGAGCTGAACCTGATACCGGTACGCTAGAATCTTCTTGTCCTCTGCCCTTTCAATATTTCCAGTGTCTACTCCGCGGAGTGGGCGGTAGTAACCATAAAGCATATGATACTAACTTTTCAAAGGAATACAAACCAAAGCGACCATGGAGGAAGATCTACAAACATGTCATCTATGCCACGCCTACCTTCTCGAATCCCTCCACTCTCACTCTGTCGCTGTCGGACCGCGAACAATTGGTCCGTCTGGCGCGTGAATTCGACGCTTTGATTATCACCGACGATGTTTACGACTTCCTACAATGGCCCGCAGAACCAGCTGCACAGGAGGGACATCCGGAACACGCACAATTGCCCCGGATTGTGGACATAGACGGATACTTGGATGGCGGACCTTTGGATGAGTGGGGCAATGTAATCAGTAACGGGAGTTTTAGTAAGCTGATTGGAGCTGGCATGCGGACTGGATGGGCGGAGGGAACGGAGAAAACGGCCTATGGTTTATCACAGACGTAGGTGATCGGTGACTGTTCGAGTCTCGAAGCCTGCTTCGTACAAGCTGACATCGAGGTTGCCATAGGGGATCGAGCCGATCTGGGGGAGCGCCATCCCAGTTTTCCGCCTCCATAGTCGCCCAATTGTTTCCTACGCGGGTCCTCCAAAAACATATCAAGAATGTGCTGCAGCCGGCATATGCAGCTCGATATAACCGAATGATGTTTGCTATCAGTGAGCACCTGGTACCTCTGGGCGTCACGCCGTTGACTCCGAGAGGGACCGCAGGGGGGTATTTCATTTGGCTTCAACTGCCTACTCCCCTTCGAGCAACTGAACTGGCTTCGCTCGCGCTTCGGGAGCACGACGTCGAAGTGGCGGCAGGGAATATGTTTCGTGTGCAAGGCGATCCCGTGACGGACAAGAACGACTTCGATAATGGGAT